TGAGAATTTGTTAACAAAATAATTTCATTCTTAAAAATGATCATTCACTTTAAGTGAAAGCAAACTATGCTACCAAAAATTTCTCAAGTAACTGGTTCATCACAAACTTGACAGAAACAAATTCCACACACTTCACTATGACAAACAGCAGTTTGGTGGGTTTTTTTTTTTTAATGCATATTATGTGTCTAGAAGCATTTAATCTTAATAAAGCTTTTTTTTTTTTTTTTTTTTTTTTTTGCCAGCCTGAATGTAATCTAAATTGTGATTACTTTGTAACAAATAGGATATGTATGCACTTCTGTGAGAGGAATGCCAAATTCATACACTGGAGTCACTTGAGTAACATTTCTTAAGAAAAACAGCTTTTTTTTTTTTTTCTTAAGAAGAAAGGGTTATAAAGATTTGGGCCCACAGTTCACTTAGTGAAAGAATGTCAAACATACTTTCAACATAGCTTCTTTGGTTCCAGTTACTCAAGAATTTTACAGGGAAAAACGGTAATAAAGTTAAAAGCCAGCACTCACAATAGAAACCCACTTGTCTCCACTGTCTGTAAAAAGGCAGGAGGGAATTTTGATCCAGCACAACTGAGAACACAGAGAGCTCCAGGCCCTGCTGTGTGATAAGACCATCCAAAATAACCAAGATACAGTAAGTATTCTGCCCATACCACCACTTTGCTCATACTATAGAAGTAGTTGGCTCAAGCACTTTAAACTGAGATAAATGACACCAACAATAAAATTAGAAAGCAATCCATTGTTTTCCAGACACTCATTTTGCACCTAGACCACCTCCAGTTCCCTGAGAAAAGCACAAATACCAAGTGGCTGCACAGGAAATTAGATGAGAAAAGTTATTCAGGTAAATATAGATGAGCCAAGTAAGTTTTTGTGGGTTTTTTTTTGTTGTTGGTGGTGTTTTTTTGTTTGTTTGTTTTTGTTTGGGTTTTTTGTTTGTTTGGTTTTTTGGGCATTTTTCTTTGTTTTATTTGTTTATTTGTTCGAGTGTTTTGTTTTGTTTTTTGTTTGTTTGAGGGGGTTGTTTGGATTTTTGGAGATTTTTTTGAGCCCCACCAGTCCCCTGAGTAATGACACAAAGGAACAGGCCAATCCAAGAAGCACAAGGACATCTGGACTGTTTCTTTCTCTGACCGTGCCAATTTGAAATGTTCAGGGAACTGTGGCTTCCCTGACCCTTCAGACGCTTATAAACAAACCCAAATGAAATAAATATTAATAGGACAATACTCCCCCACATTCTTGCTCCTCCTGTTCTTCACACCTTACTGCTGGTTCTACACCTCTACAAAGTTAAGCCAAACCAAGTTCTGATGCAGCACATTGAACTGGATCAAGGACAAAAACCAACTAAAAAATTAGAATTTTCTTCAACTAAATTAATTTCCCCACAGGAAACTGTGACTAAGGACTGTTTAGTCCAGAATATTCTCATGAAGAGCTCTATCATTGAGCCACGACAACACATATCTGCCCTATTTTCTAAGGTTTTTGTCAAATTCCCTTTAGTACATTTGAAACCTTACAGGTTTCAGTTTTATTCGGAAGTGGTTATTTCACCACACATAATAATGACTTCAGGTTGTTGCCCTATGCCTCCTCGTTATGGTTTTTATTAGTTCAAGTCCAATTCTACACCAGGCACTGCCTCTCTGGCCTTTGCAAAGCAGCTACCAAGATCAGCACCAGCCCATCAAGCTTCTATCAGCTGGCACCACAAGGGCAGCTGCTTCCACACTTGGACTTAAAAGGCAAATCAGAATGAAGTTGTGGGGGTCCCCATAGATCGTCTCTTCAGAGTAGGAACACCACTAATTCATTAATTCTTGCAGCTTGCTTAATGTCTGCTACATGTTCATTTAATGAAAATAGTTTGTGCGCATATTTTACCCTGCAGGCAAACCCACAAAGAGCAATCAGAAAGTTCAGAATGCTTTACAACCACAAGCCTTTCTTCAGAAAGTACCAGTGAAAATTTATTTCAGATAAATATATTGCTGTGTTCACATGGAAAAATGAAGGTAAAAAGGGTTTTAGGAACCCATTTATTTTGGATTCCTTTCATCATATACATCTACTGCCTGGTTTCCAGAGATCTCAGGCCCTTTCAAGTGCACTTGTAATCATAGGCTTTCAGATCTTGTTAATTCATTCACATCACCCAAAATTAGAGGGCAGAGTTTTAGGTCTTGATCAGTTGTGGTGGGGCTGTGGCACAGCAAAGGCAACACATACTGCTCGGCTTGGTCTGACATTATCTAGTCCAAACCAGTCCTTGCTTTCTGTGCTCACGCAGCTGCCTGGAATCTTTGCTGGCAATGAACACCGAGACTGTAAGACAAATATGGCTGAAACTGAAAACACCTCTACTACGTAAACAGTCAGGAAAGAAGAAATCCATTGCATTACCAGTTTCCAAACACAGACCTTGAAGAAAATGCCAGCCAGTGGATGGTTAAGTTTCAGCATATTGGGCCAGATTCCAAAACCCTCAAGCCAGTTAGTAATTAACAGACATCTAGGTCCTCCACATGAAAGAGGTCTATTGTTAAAACAGTGACACAAATTTTTCCTTTCCTTTTCCTAGCCAGTCTCTGCCTGTGTTTTAAGATTCCCTTAGGACTAAACAGCCTATGATTTTAGAGCCACTTCTCAAACAGACAATTTGTTAGATTTTTAGTTGCCAAGAATGCAAACATGCTTACACCAGAGGTAGAACAAAATTAATTTACAAGCTTCTCAGAAACCCATAATCTCCCCTTTCTTTCATTTAATACCTGGAAAAAAATAATATCCAAAAAACCTTCTACCATATCTACATCAGCAAATGAATTACAAAACAGTAACAAAACATACTGGGGGCCTGTTAATAGTCTGAGATGAGTCCAATTAGTGAGCAACATACCTAGGGGAATATTAGCCTGTGTCTTCATAGATAATGATGTGTAATAGCAAAATTTCTAAGATAAACCAAAGGATGCCTCACCAAAACCATTGTCTGTTCTCAGTCCTGTTACCTTACTGAAGACAGACATGTGAATAACAAGTGACTACACGTAAACCACACCAACTAGTCAATGTAATAAAAGATTATGTTGAAGTTGCATTTTGAAAGAATGAGGAGCAGACACTCATCTGTAAGGGAGCAAGTTAAATCATCAAGGACAACAGGGAAGATGCGACAGTGCAGGAGCTGGCAGAAGTATTCAACAGATATGACAATTTTTAAGAAAAGTCAATAAAACAAAGAGTCAAGCTCATCAGAAAAGAACAAAAAGTTCTATCAGATTTTAAAATATTTTCTGAATGCCCGTGGCTTTTCAAAGTCTATGGCTTTGACTGCTTTGCTGTTTGCTGGAGTTTGACTGGTGGTTTGACTCTACCATACCCTAATCTATCTGGTCATATGAGGAAAAACCCAAATCCCCACTGCATTCAAGATGAAAAAAAACATCCTTGGAGAAAAGGACTAGATGAATCCCTTTGGGACCAGGTTCACCTCCTCCCACTCCAAGGAGTTCCTTGCACCCAACCTGTCTATGCAATTGTTCATTTTAACTCACTACATAAGACCAGAATTATGTAATGAAAGCTTAATTCAGCAACTCAGTCAACAGCACCATTCACCAGGACAGTCAGTCCTTCCACTGCCACCCCAACAAAGGTGCCAGCAAATATGCAGGCACATGGGAGTGCTGCTCTCACCTCTGGGTACAGGTAGCCAGTCCAGGTCCAGACTGCAGAGCTCCAGGAAGCTCACACTGCTGCTGGAGGAGAGCTGCAGGCAGGCTGCTGGCATGTCAGATCAGCATCGCTTGTGAGCTTCTGCCACCTAACAAGTTTGGGAAGAACTGAGCTTACTGGTTCACTGGCAGACTTTGCTGCTATGTTGCAGAAAGCCTATCTTGCAGCTTCAGGCTAAAAGCAAAATGAAGGAAACTCAGGCATGTTTCAAAAGTTACTCATTAATTTTGTCCTAAGTCATTCATTTTGTTTTAAGAAATATGTATTTCTCATTCTTTTTGCTTCAAATAGTAAGCAACATCTATTAGTACTTTCTAATATAGTCATAAATTCAAAATTTTCTGAGGCAGGCAGTTATGTTCTTTCAGATTCTTCTAGCACTGGGCTCCATCTTCTCTGTATTTTGTTTATTCTGTATATACAATTGTAAAGCCACAAGTGTTTCCTAACATTCAGTATTCACAAGCACATGTATTAATAATTCAGCAAAGCGAAAGTAATCTGCAAGCAACGTCTCATAATGCAGAATGCTCCAACAGCGAGAAAAGCATGTGCTTAATTTTAAAATGAACAATTACAAGGGAGAGGTCTCTTTTTAATAACTTTATAGAAGTACTTTTAAAAACTTTATTGAAGTACAAAGCAGATGCTGGACATCAAAATTTTCTGGAGGATCTTGGGTCAGGTGAGAACTCCAAGTCACGTAACACAGCATCCCCGTCCCCAGAATAATCACATTTCTAACCCCCGCCACAAGAGTGGCAGTATATACAAGACTGGAAATATTTTCACAATTATTTAAGCATATCGTGTTTATCTCTACTGTTTTAAAGTGGTGGCAAAAAAAAAAAAGGGACAAAAACCAAAAAAAGCACTCTCTTTGCTTTTTAAGAGTGGGGTTATATTTTTGCCCCTCCCACAAACATTTTTACATGGCCACAACACAAACACTCGCAAAGGCAACGCAGCTGAAAATTTTAAAGGGCGATACAAAACTTTATTTTCACACTTCCAACAGAAAAGAGCAGCGATAATTTAGCGCTTCATACAGCAGCCAGCAAAGATGAAGAGCGGAGGCCAGCAGTGAAATTACGCAACCTGTTCGCGTACCAAACGCAGTAAATTACGATCTATTAACGCAGAGAGCGCCGCCCGCCCAGACCAGCGGGCCCACCCCTCCCATCGCCCCGCTCTCCTCCCGGCCCCAAGATGGCGCCGCCGCCCCCACAGCCCCGGCCNGACAGGTCTCCGACATCCCCGGAGGATGGAAGAGAAAAGAAGTAAGCCTTCAAAAAATCATATATATATATATATATATATATATATATATATATGCATGTTTTGGGCATCCATTAGTCTTGTCAGATTTTTAGGAGTCGACTGTCTTAACCTATCTTCCCGTTCAACTAAATGAAGTATCCAGACTGAATGGAAAGGCTTGGGGTTGATTTATTTTTTCAGTCACAGTATAGAAAAGATGAAGTAGCTAACGTAAACAAGGCATGCTTTACGTTGTCTGTGTCATGGGCTGCCCACGGGGGTGGTGGAGTCGCTGTCCCTGCCGGTGTTTAAGGAGAGGCTAGATGCGGCATTCAGTGCCGTGGTCTAGTTGGCATCCTGGAGTTCGGTCATAGGTTGGACTGGATGATCTCAGAGGTCTTTTGCGACCTATTTGATTCCGTGATTCATGGAGATAAAAATTTGGAATCTTCAGTGTGGTTGAAAAGTGCTGTCTTACTTCTCCTTATCTCTTAGTATTCTTGCAGTGAGAGGTCTCTTGTATTTGTCAAGAAACAGATTCAGTAATTTATTTACCTTAAAAAAGCTTTCTTTTTTCCCCCCAAATAAATTAATTTAGTTATAGTACTGTTACAGTGAGCACATCAATTTAAGAAAATGAAAAAAAAGGAAATCAGTGAGTTAATGGGCAGGGGGGTTTGTGTAGACTCATCTGAATGTGCTGGAAAGTTTGGATCACCTTGTGACAGCTTCATGCTTGTAGGACAGTAAGAAATTACCTAAGTAAAAAAATCTCCTCACCTTGCTTGCTTGAGTGTTCCTCAGCTAGATCTTGAAGAGGTGTGGGGTGACTGAAAGAGGAATGACTATTTCAACACAACATATTCTCACACAGTGCTCCTCCTGATACCTGCTGTAGTATTTACTTGTATAAATTTTGAAAAGCTGAGTAGCTACAACTATTTTAAATTTCTCACCTGATCTCTTACTTGTCCATTCTGCACCTCTTGCAGTGCTGTGTGACTTCTTTGAAGAGGAGAACCTTACCAGTCCCAGGGAGGAGAGCACTGAAGGTAGTATAATTTGGATTTATGGAGGGAAAGAGGAAAAGAGAGTATATTTGGCACTGCTTCTGATATGAAAATTACAACTGGAAGACAATAGCTTTGCCTTTTGTGATGTGAGAGGTTTGTCAGCAGCACTAAAGGAAACATGCACTCAGGTCGTTTATCTGGTAGCCGGAGTAAGTAGCCTGACCTTGGCTGCTTGTATCTTGCTCTAGCATCATTCCCCTGCACAATGCTGGGAAAAAAGAGATACATGATAACAAGGATTCTGTAAAGGAAAAAGAAAATCCCTGCAGCCAGATGCCAGTGCACACCCTGATCCATCAGCTGGAGAGATGGTTTTGAATGCTGACAAGGTAGAGGTAACCAGTGTCTCCTGATTCCCTGTCCTTCTGACTGTGATTGGTGATAGCAGCGTTAGCACTGGAGAGATCAGTGGTGTGGACATCTCTCTTTTTTGAAATGAATATTATACTATCAACTTCAAATGCGATCTTTGCTTCTCCATGCAAAACAAAGCTTTTGCTGCTGGAATTTTTGGGGCACTCCCACGTGAGAATTGGGGAGGCATTTCCAATGTGTGTTTTATTTCCCTACGGCCTATGCATTATTATAGCTGAGGACCCAGAAACAAGAAACTGTTCTGTCATCCATCCTCTGAAGTAATCCATCCACCAGTACTATCCAGATTTTATTTATTTATTTATCCAGATTTAGTAAATGTATGGAAACACCTGGGAACACATAATGAAGAAGGACAGCGGTTTTAATCAGCAGTGGATAAACTTATTACTAGAATATCTAAATGCATATTTTTAATTTAATGTATTTTTTAAATTTTATTTTAAACACAAATATTAAATACACTTTTTGTTATTTTAAATTTGTGATGCTGTCATGAACAGCAAAAGGGTGGGAATGGCTCAGGGCAGGTGGTGTCCCTTGGACCAGAAGTGTAGGTTCCCAAAAATTGTGACTTTTTCTGTAACTGGACTTTACCCTTTCCACATGTTAAAAAAAATTCTGTGGATATAAGAGATCATTAAGTTTTGTTGAGAGTTGGTGCCAAATCAAACTATTTCACAAGACAAAGTACTTTCATCATTGCCTGTTGATATTAAGTATTATGCCTTTAGCTGCTGGTGTCATGAGCAACAGGGGTTGTGGTGACAAAAGATTGGTACCTGTTTGACTGCTGTCATGGTGCTTTTGAGAGTAACCACACTGCCATAGCATCATTGGGCTTCTGATACCCTGAGCAACAGAACTCATTCTCTACTAAGTCAAAAAATGAAGGAATATTTTTTTTTATGAGCCTTACAAGAATGCAGTATTTCTTGACTGCTGGGAAGGTGTCACCCCAGCACTTTTGCCAACAGAGATTTGCTGTCTGAAAGTGGAATGTAAACCTAGTGTGGTGACACTGGACTCCACCTCTAGAAATGGAGTAGGAAAACAGATTTGCTTATGTTTTTGTGCTTGGTCATTGAAGAAGAGCAACATTAACTGAGAAAGAGCTTGTTCTTTGTTCTGCCATCATTTTTTGACATGCTGAAACATATTTCCTTTTCACAGTCCTTGACAAAGATGCACAGCTAAAGTTTTAGCAAGAGCCTTCATGAATGGGCATAGCACCTTGAAGGTACATACCTTTGGAAGAGGAGAAGTTCTAAACCAGTAGCTTAAAAAACATTTATTTAAACAAAATGTCCTTTATAAATATTTCTAGTGGAGGAAGGAGGCATGATGTGTGGGGTGTGTTAATTATTTCAAGTGATACCCCTTGTTGAACAAAATTCATCAAACTGCTTTTATCTGAAAATATTTTGGATGTTTTTTCCCCTACTAAACATACCAAAACTAATGATGGGGAAGGATAGACAAGCTGTGCAGCTAAGAGAGGTTACAGCTATTAAAAAAAAAAAAATCCCAGTATCTTTTATCGAGTAAAATATGCAGTTTATTCAGTTGAAAGTATTCTCCCGTTTCACTTTTGTGAGTTTCAATGATTAATTTTTAGTGGGACTCATTTGTTGTTATTTGAAGAAAGACTTCCACAGCTCCCTTTGTGACTTGTTTAAAATGTTTCTTGAAGGAGCATCATGCACAATTGGAAGCCACTCCAGTTCATCACTTGACTTCTGTTTCACTTTTCTGATTGAGTTTAGGAATAGACTTCTGGAGGTATAATGCATCCTGCTGTACTGATTGTTTTTCAGAAGTGCCTCCGAGTTAAATGAGTGGGAGCCTTTGAATAGTCCACTAGGAGTTAGGTATGTTTTCAGACTTCTCAGGAGCTGTAAATGGTAATTTGCATTTCAGGTGATGTGAAGACATTTTGGACACAGCTGGGAGGTAGAAGAGTAGATGTCATATTTGAGCAAGTGCAAAATGTGCTGTCGGTGCTGAAGGAAAAGATCAAGAATGGAACTGCAACAAACCAAGGTTTGTAATCCTTGTAGTGGTTAAACTGGACTGCAGAGTAGCTGTGGCCTGCATTGTGTAGGTCTGTGATATCTGCCATAATCCAGATATCTGTGAATTTTAATAACTTAGCTGTTGGTGGTTTTAAGCACTTAAAAAAAATCTTTACTTTTTTAAAAAAGAAAAGTAATTTCAGGTACAAGTGGCTGTTTTCTTGTTTTGCCTGAATACTTTTTCAAACAATGCATGGCTCTTAAGTACACGGAAATGAAATATTCATTTTTGAGAAGTAAAGAAATATCTGCAGTACCTTGTGTTTAATTTATCATCAGAAGTTTTAGCCTTTCAAGCTGATCTTAGTGAATTGAGTGGTTTTGGGGTGGGATAAGAATAATCTCAGTATTATTTTTTGTCAGAGACACCATTATAACTTGAAAAAATAGTAGAAAAATGTGACACTGATGCAATTTCAGATTGTTCCTGATTTTCAAGGAAATAAGCTTCCTGTGTCTACATCAAAATACATTAAAATTGTCATTCTGATAACCTTGGAGCAGTATACAGATTTCCTTTTACTGATTTATTTAATGGAGTAAAATTGCTTCTTTTTCTTAAGTCACCCATATAAATGTAATCTATGGATCTTATTGGGGTTTTTTGTGCAAGAAAATGTACAGTGGTGTAAGATGCTTTTAACCTAATCTGTAGCCACACACTCTGCATTATATATATAATACATTTCCTCTAAACTGGAAGTGCAATTTTTTGTGTTCTTGAGCTCCCACATCTTGGCTGTTACGACAAAATGTCAAAGCAGTGCAGAGATAAAAGGTGAACTTGAATCCCCAGATGATGCAGTGAATCTGTGATAAAGTTCAATTTGAATTTTTCTATGCTTTGTTCTGTAAAGGTTTCAAGCTAAAATATTAATGTGGATTTTGCTGAGAGTTGTCTGCCTCTCTGTTGTAAAATTTACTGCATGGGGTAAGAGGTTGAGACAGAACAGGTCTCTTGCTTTCTTCTATCTGAAGGCCATTTCCACCAGTTTAGAAGTAGCCTTAATTTGGTCTGCCAAGTTCCCGCCCTTCCTAGCCTGAAGATGATCAGGCTGATGACCAAGGTAGAAGCTTACATTAATTGTCTTTATATATATTACTGCAACTGTAGGCCACCAGTTTGTGTGTTAGGAAACATTCTATCAGCTTTCCAAAAGCTGATGGATATTCACTGCCAGCTCACAACTACTACTATGAGCTGTAACAATTTTGTAATTCCTAGATGTGTCTGCTAAAGTCTGTGTGTGTTGTTTCTAGCAGTATCAGTGTTTCGATGTTCTAGGTGAGTGCAGTGAGAAGAAGCAAGTGTATGTGGAGGATGTATGTGGACTTAACACTTTGTTTTACCTATGTCATTACTTAAATTAAACTTAGTATCTGGTTTGGTTTTTTTGCCTAGAATGCTGGCAGGCTTGGGCACTTGTGAATGAGGCCAATCTAGGTGATCTCTTAACCTTGGCAGATGGTATGTGCATTTCCATTGTGTTTGTTTGGTATGTGGATGTAATTTGTCTTGTTTTACTCACCGGAAGCTCAATTCCCTTCTTTGAAATCAATAAAATAGTTCTGAGAAGGCCATTAGCATTACACTGAGGAAAACCTAATTATTAATTTCCTCAAATACTGTGAACTCTCAGCTGGGTTTGTATTTTTGTGGTTTTTGTGTATAATACTCGTACCACAGAAAGAGAGTTTGAACTAGTAAGCCCTTATGAACCCAAGCTGTCTGTGAGCAGGTATTCTGTACATGGCTCCACTAGCTGTAATAGCTTGGCATCGTTTTATCTCTCAGAATGAAGGGAAATCTGTAAATGTGTTTAATGAGCATTTTCTTTGTGGTCACTTTGAAAACCACATGGAAGGCTTTTCAGTAGGATGCCTGCTAACAAGCTTTTGTTAGCTGTAGTTCATAGCAATGCCTTGTTTGTAATGTGTCTTGTTAATTATCTCTTTAGTAACTAAAGTAAATTCAATCATAAATTGAAATCTGGATTGATGAAGCTTTTGCTTGCATTCAATTTTTTTCAGTAAGCGATGAGTTGAATGGAGATGGTACACAGGAAACCAAACCCAACCTGCAGCCTCTTCTTCCAGATGTCAATGCTGCAGACGCTGTAGAAGCTTCTGACAGGTCAGTGCCTTCAGTTCTTTATTTGACATATTCTTTACTGCAGTTGAGAGAGTTCTCAGATTTGTATTTCTAAAGTCAGTGTTTTAAACACTGTTTGAATCCTGCGGGTTTTCAAAGTGAAAATCTTTTTAACTTAATCTATGTGGAAAACCTGAGGTTTTGGATAGACTTGTCTAATTTCTCACGCAAGAACGTTGCAGAATAGGGCATTAGGTTGTGAGTAAAGGTTTATGAGTGTTACCAGGGTTAGGACTTAAGCATCAGTTCTCAGGCTTTCCTTACTGTGCAGATAGTCAGGTGTGTAAACAGTCTCTCTGTGTTTAGTATTTAGCCTCAGGTACTTTTTTGAAAGATGGGATAAATACATCATTCCTTTTTTTTTAAATGTCCTTTCTGTGTTTTAGTATGTAAGTTCTGGGCAGAACTTTTTCTTTTATACAACTGAATATGTCTTTATATATTAGGACAATTACACCATGTGAAAGCTTGGGCCTTCTAGCAATGGGGCTAAAAATATTGAACTGCTAAAAAACTGAACACCACACTGGTTGTCTGAGATGCTGCTCTTCTTTCTTTATTTTCCTCCTTTGCTTCAAATAGTGGAAAAGAAGACATGGAAAGAACCTGCTCAGAGAGTAAAGAAGCATCTAGCAAAATTCAATGTTTGTCTTTAAATGTGCAATATCAGAACCACAAGTGCTCTAGTGCATGTCTTGCCAGTAGAGCAGCAGGCTCCTACAAGGGTGAAAATCCTCTGAAGATCCCAATCCTGTTTGACTTTCAAAGACGCCATGCAAAAGCAGACTGCCTTTCGAAGCCACTGGATGTGAACTACAAAGCTCCTTGCGGTCGGAGTCTGAGAAGCTTTCGAGATGTACGAAATTACTTGTTTGAAACAGAGTGCAATTTCTTATTTGTTGATCACTTCTCCTTCAACACATATGTGCTGTTGGGCAGGAACACCATGAATCCCGAGCCCCTCGTGTTTGAGTTCGATATTAGCAATGGAGCAGAGTCTGTGCCTGTCTCCTTCTATAACAGTCTCGACCATGCAAGATTGCCTTATTTCAAGTATCGGAAGTCGTCATGGCCTCGTGGATATTATCTCAACAATTTCTCCAGCCTGTTTGTTGATTCCTGTGACTGCACAGATGGCTGCATTGATAGGTAGGTAGAAAGATCTCATCTCAGGCCAGTGACAGTGTTGAGGGTGCCTCAACAGCAGGGTGGTGGGGTGTGAAGGCACAGTACCAAACAGGACCAGCACTATCTTGTGCCATGCTTTGTGTTGACTGACACCATTGTGTCTTTCTTTTCTCCAGAACTTGGGTGCCTCTATTGGTCCACCCTCTGTTGTAGGGAAAGAAGTGATCAACAGTAGGATTATTGTGCTCCTTTTTCTTGCTTCCCAAACTGGCAGTGCTTCTTCTCCAGGTGGAGCTGACAAGCAGATATCTTGGCTTTGGAAAAAGAGTAGGGAAGGGAGTCTTGTGCCAGCAGAGGCAGGCTTATTTTCATGGCAGGCAGGGAAGGATCCTGCATGACAATTTCTGCTGCAGTTCCTACTGTAAAATGGCATCCTAAAGATTGGGTGGGACAGCCTTGAGGGAACAGATAATTTGGAATTTAGAGGGTTACTGAGGGCAGATGAAGAAACATCCCAACCTCTACATGTCGTCCTTCCCCTTGTCTAAACAGAAACTACAAAACTCAGTGGTTACAGAATACCTTTGTGGTCTGAGCAGTTCCAATACTCTTGCTTATTGTCATCTTTTCTAAATCCCAATAACTCTGAACTGTGTGGGAACCTGCCACAGTTACCATATGCAAGTTTGGTGGTATTTTTGTCTACTTCCTTGTAGGGTGTTTGTCTAATCTCTGTCTGTAGGCGTTATTTGGCGTTCCATCCATCTTGTATTATTGACAGCAAGGGCCATTGCACATGCTGCTGTGCAACATAGTTGCTTATGACCCAGAAAAAGCTTGAAATGACAACCTGGTGTAATGAAGCTTAATGTTAGTAATTTAGTTTCAGCTGAGTGGTGGGAAAGAGCAAGCACACAGCATGCCACTTCTATGCGCTGAAGTCCCACAAGAAGTGAGATGCTTTTGCTGTGCAGTTTTGGGGTTTAGGATTTGCACAATTGCTGTGACTCTTTGAAGTTTTTGTGACATACAATGGTGAAGACAAGCACTGTTGCTTGAATTTTCTACAGTGTAAAATTCTTCACTTCATGGGGGCTAAGGAGGGAGGAAGATAACCGAATAGTGGCAAACAGGCTGGGATGCTGTGCCAGAAAGGTGATTTTTATTCATTTGATCCATGTGACAGTGCCCTGCTTCTAATAAGTTTCTGTTGTACTTCAGCTGTTTGCATGTGCCATTTAAGGGGCTTGGCAGAAGAATGGAATTGGGGTGGAGAGAACATGGTTATTGTAAAGCACATGTAACCAGACAAGAGACTAAGGAAAAAGGTACCTGAAACAGCCTTGTGGAGTAAAAGGAGCAGGGAGGGGGAATACAGGTGTATACATGGAAGTGTGTGTGTCAAGTCAAGTGCATTTCAAATTACCTAGATTTATGATTGATTTATGCTGCTTCAAATCCATTCTGAGATGTTTTACTCTTATTTTTAGGTCCAAATGTGCATGTCTACAGCTAACAGCAAGGGGCTGTAGTAAAATTCCTCTGTCACCAAGTAGTAAAAGATCCCATGGATACCGTTACAAAAGACTGGAGGGACCTGTTCCTAGTGGGTAAGAAAGACTGCAGGAGTAAAATAACAGCATACAAATAAAACAGCATTTAATAGTTCAGTCTAAGTGCCACAGGATTAAAATAACTGGAGTTTTTGTACTACTGAAACCTTCAATTTTTGTCATAATTTCAGTGACAGATCAGGATGATAAATAATTAATGTGACTTGAGTAATAGGAGGAAAAAAAAACCTTCTGTATTGCAGATCTTACAGTTTTCACAGCTTAGGTCAAGGTCCAAGAGAAGTTACCAGAGCCTTAAAGACACATCAGCCAGCTGCTTTTGCCAGGCTTAGTTATGGGTGACTCTTCCAAGAATCTCCAAAGCCATTCAATGCTTCCTTTTCTTTCCTTTTCCCCTTTCTCTTATTTAGCTCCTGTGGATTAATAGGTGGTCTGGAGAAGATGCCAGTTACTCCAGGTGTCTAGGAGAGGAATTATGCAAGGTAGCTTTCTGCAATAGCCAAGGGCTTGAACTACAGACTTGAGGAGCCCCATCCAGTCCTCTGTATGATGCTAGTTTTCGGCTGACATGCAGAATTAAAGTTGTCAGAGAGCCCAGAAACAGATGCAAAATAAAACACAATTATGAGTCCTTTTGGAAATGCTTCAGTAAATCCTGAAATTCGTGACAGCTACAGTGAAGTCCAGGCATAGGTTGTCTTGGAAAATCTGTTCCAGTATAGAATTAGATGCTTCATAGGGATTTCTGTTTCTGTGTGATTTAGTCCTATTAAACAAAAATATGGCATTTGTTTTTCTTGTGTACTTATGCCAAAATCTGGCAGACAGACTCTTAAAGTTAATGAATCAGCAGTCAAGAAAGTCACAAGCTTCAGAGCATTGCTGCACAACCAGTTTTAGCCACAGTCTTTATATTTCAGTGTACTGCCTTGTTGATGCTTAGAAGGGAAACTAATAATAGGAACTTGGTTATGGTAATGCATCCATTTATGTTGTGCTTTGTTTTTCTTCCTCTTGACAGGATTTATGAGTGTAGCGTATTGTGCAGGTGTGACAAGCTGATGTGTCAGAACAGAGTTGTACAGCATGGCATTCAAGTCAGGCTGCAAGTGTTCAACACAGAGAAGAAGGGCTGGGGTGTCCGCTGCCTGGATGACATCGACAAGGGGACATTTGTTTGTACTTACTCAGGTAGCAGGAGGGGACCTGTGAAGACATGTAGCATAATTCTCCCTCTCCTATGGTGCATGCCCTGGATATTTTTGAGAACAGGGAAATGCAGGGCTGGAAGAGAAGTGTATCAAGGGAATCTTAACCTGCAATATGATCAAATGGAAAGAAGGACTTTGAAGAGCTCTGCTATGAGATGGTGACAGACAAACAAAATAATATGCAGCAAAACCTATCTCAGACTGCTAATTTTTTTGCCTCACAAGTCTGCATCCTATGCCAGGGCTAATTTTCCTTCAGTAAAAATCATTAAATCGTAGAATGGTTTGGGTTGGACCTTAAAAAACATCTAGTTGCATCCTCACCATGGGCAGGGACACTTTTCACTAGACCAGGTGGCTCAGGACCCCACCCAAAGTGACCTTGAACGCTTCCAGAGATGGTGCTTTCACAGCCGCTCTGGGCAACTTGTGCCAGTGCCTCACATTCACAGTGAAGGAGTGATACTAATACCTAATCTAGATGTGCTCTCTTTCAGTTTAAAGCCATTGTCCTTTGTCTTATCACTACATACCCTTGTCTAATTCAGTTTGTACTTCAGCCTATATTGACATTGTAGAATTATAGACAGCATTCATATTTTGCTTTCCCAAGTAATGCTCTTGTATTTGTTAATGTAAGTTTGACCTGTGACAGTGAGACTCAGCAAACAAGCATTTAAAAAAAAAACCCAAAAAAAACAAGAAAACTTTACTTTTTCTTTCAGGCAGATTAATGAGCAGAGCTGAAGTATTGGGAGATGCTGAGCAAGAGCTGAAGGAGAAAAGTGCAGTGAATGACAGAGGCCATGACTTTTCTTCCAGAAAAAGAAAACTTGACATTGATCGTTCAGACTCAGTGGTTGAACTAGTGCAGACTGACAAAAATGACATTCTTGAGAATCAGGAATCTTTGTCTCAGACTGTGGATAATGAAAATAAATCAAGCCTGTAAGTTTAGCAAAGTAAGCTTAAGCATAACAAAACTAACATTCTGCTAATCTAGAAATTTTGTTGTATAACTTAATGTATGTCCTCATATGGGGGTGGTGTTTTTTTTCTATCTGAACTTCTTATTAAATTCCTAATTATTTCTTCTAGTGAGATAGAGTTTTCCCTCTATATTAATTTTTCTTATGTGTACCACTTGGCATTTTTTAGAAATTCAGTTCATCTCTTAGGTGTACTTGATCTGTTCAGGTTCATGGTAATGCTAATTTGAAAGAAATAATAAAATACTCTTGAGATAGATTGTTTAAAGATACTCGATGACACTGAAGGGTTTGATGATACCACAGCCACCAGCTGTTCTGCCCTTTGCTCCCAGTCTCTAAACCTTATGTTATTTGTAACATAACCTTTCTTGCCAGAAACCTTAACCTCTCTTGTTAAGAGTCTGGCAACACCTCACTTTTGCAGTGAATATGTTTTCCTAGTTGAAAGCTGTACTGTCAAAACTGTTGGAAGTAGTAGCAGGAAAAGGCAGAACTCTGTAGGTGCTCTCTTTTGAGATAATCTGATATAATAATAGTAAAGCAACAGTTTGATTCTCAGAACGAAAACTGGAAAATGAGTAATTAAAGTAAAAGCAGCTGCTGATCTCTCAAAAAAGTTTGAGCAACTACCTTCTTACAAATACTATAGAGAACATAGCCTATGTTCTCAATTAAAAACAAAATACCCACAGAGAATGGGGTGAGGGCAGACTGCAGGCTCTGCTGTTGTTCCTTCTAGAGAAGAGACTAGAGACTGTTAGAGAAATGTGTGTTGTGAGAGTTCCTTATGGGTCTGTTTGTCTTTTATCATTTCCTTTCAACCTTTCTGTATAGGGTTCATCTAAAGAACTCAAGTAATGCAACTGTGGGAGGTCCTGGAACAAGAACACTTGTTTTTCACAATCACCAGCTAAAAATGGTAATTAGTGGCTTCAACATATTCATATTTCACTGTTCTGAATATGTATGTTAATTTTGACATTTTCATCTTGTATGTTTAGATAGTTTTAATAACCTTTCTTCATGAGATTGTGTCACATTGTGAGCTAGGCTGTCATGCTGGAAGGTGCACACCATCCCCTCTCCATTATCAGTCCTTCAGTATGTTCCCCCAGACCAGCACTATCTACTCTCACTGTCTCCCCTTCTCTACCCTTCACTTATACTCCTCAAGAGCCTGAAGTAATTATTCTCCCCCTACACCCCTTGAGTACAGGGTTAGGGGGTCAGAGTGATAATATTTTTGTGATGTCTCCCCAAAGAATGGTATAGTGGGGAGAAAAAGGCATCTCAGGATGTCTATGCAGTTTTCTCATACAGTGGCAGAGCTGGGAGAACTGACCTGAATGTGACTCCTGACCTTTCATGAGTGTGCCTGCAAACATGTGCAGAGGAAAACTGGTGTAAACTTATGCTGTAGGTTTTACTGGATTCATTACCCTTAAGAAATGCACATGGAATTTTCATGCAAACATTTTGCTGTGCTGTCCATTCTAGAGGCCCAGTAACTAATTGCCTTTTTGTGATGGGAGAGGAAAATTTTGCCACATCTGGTCATTTCATTAAAACTGTGTAAAAAGCATCTTTGGGATTTGGCTCAGCAACTTACAATTCTAGTGAAATTGTTGAGACTTAAGCACTTTCTTGCATGTCTTATTGATTGGGGAACTCTTTCCTGGTTATTATGAAGGATAATTTGAAATTAAGATAAATGTTGCATTTCAGTAAATGTATTAGGTTTTCAAATTCAGCCACAGCTATGCATGACAGTAGCTTTGAAACTTCAGCCTTGGTGTTCTTGCTGTGCCCTCTTTGGCCCAGAGTTGCATGCAGCAACAACACATCACAGCCTTTTCATTTGATTCACAGGTGCACAGTGTCAGCTCAGATGAAGATGATTGTTCTCAGATTCATCAGTCAAGCAAAACAAAACTAATGAGTGGAACCAAGAAAGGAAAAGAAAGTAGGTTTACAGAGCGCTATGTACTGCATGCTTTGTACAGTTGTGTCCCATCAGGTGATACACTTTAATGTAGACAGTGTGGGCAGGCCAGTTCTTAGAGTAGAATTGTGTTGTCCGTAGATGTTGAGACATGTTGAACTGTCCAGCCAGCAGCTTCTCAAATACTATGCAGTTGTGGAAAGTCAGTCTTGCAGATCTTGCTGTGTCACACCCAGTACCTGTTCCAGACAACAAAAGTTGAACAGGATACAATACTGGAGTGGGGGGACCTCAAGTTGGAGAGGCAGTGTGAAACTGATGCTGTTTGCACACACATCTTTGTTTCTGTCTTAATTACAGTTTGTGATTCTCTTGGGAATTAAGGTGGAGAATGATCAAAAATGCTGTGTGGGAGAAATCAGTCTGGAGTGGGATTTGAGAAGAGTGAGACACTAGGTCATTCAGAGGCACCTTGGGCTAATGCTTTAGGCATCACAGTAGGAAACAGTAATTTGTGGGAGGATTGATAAGAGACATGGAAAAGTTGTGTTACAGATTTGTAGCTAGCAAGGAAGACATGGGAAAAGTGGGTGGCTAAGAGTTCAGGGCAAATCAAGGGAAAGGCTTTGGCCTTAAACTGGTGTTGAGAAATAACGTACATGTCCATTGACAGAATCCACGCAGAAGCAGAAGGAAGAACATCTGATGGAAGTTGGACAGACTGACTCTGCTGGTGTACAGAGTGCAGGATGCAAAAGAAAGAGTCTGTCACTGCAGAGTGTTCATTGTCGCAAGTCCAGTGTGCTGGATGACACATGTATTGTGAGGCCATCCAATAATGCACCCCTAAAAGCTGACTGCAAAGGAAATAGCAGGCAGCCAAAACAAGATGCACTTTGTGAGGAGTCTGATGGTGATGGGATGCTTCCCAAGAATGATAATGAAGGAAATATTTATGTACTGGATGCCACAAAAGAAGGAAATGTGGGTCGTTTTCTAAATGTAAGTACTAAGTTGCATGGGTTCTCTTTGCTGTCTCCGCAAATACATCATTTACTTATTTAAGCTTAAACTAGAAAGTTTTTTCACATAAACAGTGTGGGTGGTAGGCACATGACAAGAGAGGCACATGTGGTGCTCCCTGCCACCACAGGTGTCAGGACAGTAGGTAGACAGTAGGCTGGCTGTTCATGCCTCCATAAGCTGATAATGCTATGTACCAGCTGTAGTTTTTGGCACCACTGGGTTCCTGAGAGAAATATTCCCAGTAATGAATGATACATTTTTTGTGATGGCTTTTTTTAGAGGTTCAGAGACTAAATAGCACGTTTTATTGAACCATATGCCTTCTCCCAGCTTTGTTTGCTTTGTTCCCCAGCCATTGTAAATTCTAGTTTGTGTTGGTTTAGGACATGTGTTGTGTTGTTGTATAAAACTTCCCTGCTGTTCAGTCATAGTTTCAGAAAGTGGTGTGTCATAGTGTACATGTTTGCTAACTAAGTCTCTCGATTTTGACTTATTTATTTTTGCCAAGAAATAAATAGCAATTAATTACCAAGTACCTCCAGCTAAAACAAATGGTTCATAGACACATCTGCAGATACTCTACAAATAGTTTATTTCTCTTCATTGGCATGAATATGTCTTACAGCAAAGCTCTTGCATATGTTGAAGCTGTTCTTCCTTGCAGAGGTAATATGGTGTTAATATTAGTAGTGCATCTTGCAGAAACCTTCCTTCTGTTCCTGTGAGCATACACATGTTCCTACATGCACCTGAGTGACCTTTCATATCCTGTACTTGGCCAACACACAGTCATGTTATCCATTGCTTGCTCCCTCACACTGCTGCCCGGGCAATAGCATTGGATGATAAATTTTCCATGTGGACTGGAGAAGGGAAGAAAGAAACTACCTTTACTGGTGACAGATATCTGGCACAAAATATTTTTTCAGGCAATGATGTGGTGCTGGACTGTTTCTAATTCAGATTTTCTGTTTTACAGCACAGCTGCTGCCCAAATCTCTTTGCACAAAGTGTGTTTGTAGAAACTCACAACAGAAGTTTTCCATGGGTGGCATTCTTCACAAACAGGTGAATTTCTGGAAGCTTAATATTGTTCATTCAAGGTACTAGGAGGAAAGAAACGGTGCTTAGTTATTAGGAAATAATTACACTGAGGGGTGAGGCAGATGCTTAGATCATAAAAGCACAAAACTACCTTCTTATAGGTGACTTCTTATTGTGCACTAAAGACAGAAGAAATACAACTCATTGGTTATCACTAATGAGTTTTGCTTCAGTTTTGCACTGGAATGTAAAGTAGGGAAGGTTAATTTTGATGTGTCCACTTCAGTGATAATCTTCTTCAGTGGAGAAATAAGTTTCACTCAGCACGATGATTTGGAAAGCCAAGATTCACTCATCCCACTGTTGTGTCTCAATGAATGGCCACCAGATCTCTGTCCTATAGAGCAGGATTGAACCCCACAGGATATAAAGGCTGAGACACTGTGGGCCAAACAAGCTGGCTTCGGTCCTTTTCCTCACAGCTATCAAGACAAGCAGGACTTTGTGTAACCCAGCATGTCCTGGGGATAAGTAAAAGATGCAGATATTTCCCTAGTGTCTAACAGAAAGAGAGGTAGACAGCTGGTGCCAGCAAGACACAATATGGCAGCAACTCAACCCAGGAGAGGAAAGATGAATTGCATGAATGAAGTTAGCTGATACACATGCCAGCAGTAGTACTAGGTGAGAACAGAACATAGAGGAGAGACTTTGTGCTGATAGACCAGTTCCAGGGAACACTGATCTTCTGTGGAGCCTTGCAGCTCTGCTCCATACTGACACAGATACTGTGGATTGCACTGGGAGGTCTCCAAGAACTGTGAAGACAATGTTTTGAAATATGTCCAAAAAAAGATTTTATTTTAGGTAGAGTCTTCCTTGCTTAGACTTATGTTACTCAGTAAAGAAGTGTAGTGGGGACTGAGGCCACTGGAGAGAGATAATAGTGACCAGCAAAGATGTTTAGGGAAGAAGATGATTGAAGGAGAGTTCTCCTCACTGGCTCTTCCGTTGTTTGGGCAACACCCTTTTACAACTTTTCTAAATTAAGGACTTCATCTGGATAATTGAGCTTAGTTGTGTGCTTTCCATGAACTTGCCCAGTCACCTTTTTATTTGTTTTACATGTCTGGTCTCTAGAAAATCTCAAGTCAGCAAGTCCAGGCTGCAGTTATGTGCTGTATGAAAAGTCCTCATTTTTTGTTGTTAGTTAGCTGCCTGGGAATTCACTGGATGTCCTCTATACCATATCCAGTGAGAAACATCAGAGAATTACTGTCTTCATCACAATATTCATATTTTATTACATTTTCCATCAGTTGTCCCTCAGCATCATAGTCTCAGGTATTTAGTTTGGCATTCATTTTGGACAATGAATTTCCTACCTTGGACATTTCTTCTATTGTACTACCAGAGCAGCTGGTTCATAAGGAGCATGTGTTTAATTCTGAGTTTTGGGCTTTGTTTACATAGTGCAATTGCATTAAAAGGTAGCCAGTCTCTGACTGAAGACTAGTCTTCAACAGCATATCTAAAAATCTGTTCAAACTTCAGTGATGCACTGTACATAGTAAAAACAACAAAACTGTGTTATTCATTTAGATGTATCACTTATGTGGTTTTCCTTTTCTTCTTTTTTTTTGTTTTGGGGTTCTGTTTTGGTGGTTTTTTTTGAGTTCCTGTTTTGGCAATTTTTGTTTGTTTGTTGTTTTGTTTTTGGTCTTTTGTTTGGTTTGCTTTGGCTTGGTGGGGTTTCTTTGTTTCATTTTTGTTTCCTAGAATTTCCCACTTAAGTTAGAGCACATTGTTTAGATTCCAGCCCGATTTGCAATCTCGATAACAATTTCCATAGGCAAAGCAGCACGAGTGTGCCAGTGACTCTTTGTTTCCCTTGTTTCTCTCCCAACAAGCTGCCTGTGTAATGCTCCCTGCCCCATGCAATTTTTGGGTTTGCATGTGTGTTGTTGGTGACAAATTATTAGCACAGTACTGTTTCACTTAGTTCAAGCAAATTGACTGAGTGTTTTATTTCTTAGACATGTGAAAGCTGGAACCGAACTCACGTGGGATTATGGTTATGAAGCTGGAAGCATGCCAGAGACAGAGATTTCCTGTCACTGTGGAGTTCAGAAGTGCAGGAAAAAAACCTTATAGGAAAAGCTTTCCTACTGTCAACACGCCTTGTACCTGGGGATTTATATGCTGGAAGGGATGACTACTCAGCGAACAGCCCTCAACTCCATGGTGCTAATTGCATTCAACTAAAATGCCTTTCACCCAATGATTTTTTAAATTTACATTTAAATATCACTTCTGTAGTTTACAAAATTAGAACTGTTTGTCCTAAGAAGAGGCATCAAGCCTTTCCTAGATAATTTCTGTTCTCCTGGTCTTCCTCCTCCCTGCTTCTAATCCACAAGCAAAGTTCATAGTGTACTGGAAGAATTCCTGCTCCATGCCATCTGCAGCAGAGGCACGATGAGAGAAACAGTTCCTCAGTGCTTTCTGTGTCCCTCCACAGTGCTGAGTTAGCAAAACTCAGGTTTCTGAAACTCATTATGAATGCAGAACTGCCTGTCTGGGCTCTAGGAGTTGTTAAAAGACACCTAAGATGTCAGGTCACGACATTGGTGGCTGGATTCTTTTTCCCCAGGACCGAGGTTAACAAGAGACTGTTTTCTTGTGTTTGGGCTTAGTTGTTTATTCTTTCCTTATCTATATTACATATATACAGAGTACAAGAAGCTACATACATTAAGATAGAGAGGTGCAAAATGGAGAGCAAAGAATCTTTCTAAGGTCTTTTATATGTCTTTTTGTCCAATAATCAAATGCCAAGTAAATTATTTTTCTTAGTGACCCAATCACCTGACACTTGTGTGCTGCACTGCAGATTTCTTTGTCCAAACACTCATTATTACCCAAAAACCCTTAGAAAAAGATGATGATGAAGAAGGAAGAAGGAGAAAGGGACAATGCCCTAAGTGTTCCATATTGTCTTGTTTTCTAATATAGCTTAAACCCTAAACTCTAACTTTCTTACCCAGTGACTTAAGAAAACTCTGTGTAAGTTACACACATCACCAGTTTCTCTACTTAACTTTAAAAGCTGTCTCCATGGTTTTAGACTAAACTCAGTGCTGTCTTGGGTGTCAGAGCCAGGCACCACAGATAAGGGCCTATTTTCTGTGCTTCTGACCCTAACACTAAGCCTGTTGGATCCGGTGGGGCAGATAGTCCTGAACAGAGGCAGAATTAAACAGTTCTACAGAGCTGTGTTTGTGCTACAAAATGAGCTAAACAAGTCCTGCTGCAGCAGGAGAGGAATGACTGGGTTTTTTGGATTGCACCCCTTTCCACATCTGTGACACACAGAGAAATCCTTGAGAAATCCAGCGTACCTCATCTCAGTGCCATATTGTGTATGGGACAGATGGGCCACAGAATTGCTTACCACATGGTTTGTTGGTAAGACAGCAACAAGCTACATTAGGAGACAGAGTGCAGTGCAGGAGGTGGCTCTGAAATGGAACAAGGGATGGGTGTGCAGGGTGTGGCTTTTGAATATGTTGGAGCCTTGGGCAAGCAAGGAGGTGTTGCAGATGAGCAATTTAGACATTTGAAGAACCACTCCCAAAGGTTTCAAAAAAAGTGGTTTTATTAAAAATGTTGTAAAAGTAAGGCTTAACATAGTTTGACAGCAAAGTTTACTGTTACTGCAGAGGATATGATAATGATTTAAAGTTACCAATACAAAATCTAGTGGCCCTGTAATACAAGGCTCTGTGTGATATCAGTCACTTATCAGAGACCTTCAGTTGATCAGGGGTCTCTCAGCCTTGAGGAGTAACATTTACAGCATCCCAGCTCATGGGGAGATCACTGCCATACAGCCAGCTGATTAGCATGAGAGCTAAGAAAACCCACTCGCTCAGGCTGTCATTTATGGAATAAAATGGTTGGCTTGAAGTCAAATTACCTTTGTTGGAGAAGGTAAACATGAGAGTCTTGAACCTGCACCTTTCTTTGTTCCTTGATAAATTAGTCTTGGAACTACCACCCACTATTCATGTGTTGATTGCATGGTTGGTTGGTATCCCAGATTCCAAGTCCGCATGCCTTGGTGCTCACCATGTCACCCTGCTCCTGTGGGGGTTTTCAGAGAAATGGTTGGAACAAATGAAGGTCTTGGCCTGATTATGTCCAAGCCTATACTGCAAAATGAACCAGTTCTCAGCCCTGAGGCCAAGAGGCAATGGATGTCTTATGCACACATAGCTTAGGGTTCTGTTTTAATTGGGTTGTATCTGTGCTCTGTAACTGTGGACAAACATAGCATCTGTGGCCCTAAGTGGTTTTCTTTTTTAGTTTGTTTTGGATGCTTCAAGCTTAAAAATCATGGGGGGTTGTATTGCAACACAGGATGCTCTTGAATTTCTCAAGTTCCAGCATGCATGAGGAGTTTCAGTGTGTTAAAAGTAGACCTTTAACAGAGAAAACAGACCTGTGAACCATTCTGCTTACAGTGAAACCAGATCCTCTCTCCCACAGCTCTTGAGAGTTTGACATATCCATCAAGCAAACCTCTCCTTAGCTTTCATCCCAGTCATCACACTCTGGGTTTGTGTGGGCTTTCACCACCCATCTCCAGAGACAAATGCAGAAGAGTGGGGTTACCCCAATGTTGGTGCAGTACCTCCTCAGAAAGTCAGAGCCACCCACTCTTGCACTGATCAGCCCCTTTGTCACTGTGTCTGTCCTCTGTGTTAGCACTCAGCCCAGTTGCTTTTTGCTTCATTGAAGATTTGTCTCTACTCAGGATGAATATGCCTGGGGGGAACATCTTTCAGTATTAACCAGAGACATGCCAAAGTGTATGACAAACCCAGGGAAAACCCAGGAGTGGAATTAGCCTTTTAAACAAATGAAAATGTAGAAAACATCTGTGTCTATGCTTGACTTGAATGTGGAAAGAAGAGGGGATTGTTTTTAAAGCATCAGGAGTGGGGGGAAAAGAAGTTACATTTTACTGCTGTTGATTATATATTCCAGATCAGTGGTAGAAATTAATGATACTGGGCTGGTGAGGAAAAGCCTGGTTTCTTAATGCAGGAGAACAGACCTGATGTTTCAAGAGGCAGCAATTACTTGCTCTGCAACTCTGGGAGAGCCTGCTGTGGGCATAGATGTGTATGAGACAGGGCTTTTTGGCTAGCTGGGTTTATCAGGTCTGTCTCCAGGCTGTTGCTTCTTCATTTTCCTCCTCCAGGCCAGAGATCATAACCTGTCCATGAGCAAAATCACCTTACAAGGTGTGATTTCTGCCTGCTTCTGTAGTATTATTAGGACAAGTTCTGCTGAGAGTGTCCTGCAAGTGTCCTCTGCAGGAAATGATCACAGGAGTACTCACCTGAGCTCTCTCTCTGCTCTGCTGACCGTTCCTGTGCTTGTCAGAGCTCACAGGAGAGGACATTTCTGAGCACAGCCCCTTGCATCACCCATGCTTTAGCAGAGCAGTGTGTAGAAGCACTGAGCCATAAGCACTGATGGAAAAACAGGTGAAGATATTCCAAGTATTCAAAAGCACTTGTGGAATGACACATTTGGGACTTCTCATCAGCCTCTCAGGGGCATCATAAATGAAGGGATGTGATTTATTAGGCCTGATGGGAATTAGTTGCACTGAGATGTGAGCTCTTAAAGTGAGCAAGATGATCCCTATGGAGGGACAGTAGGGATCTAAGGATGTATAAGGGCTCCATGGAAATTAATATTAGTGCCCAAGATATAAGCATACAAATGCAAAGACAGCTGAAGATCACTTATAGCTTAAGTATAAAAGAAACTAGACTGGAGCATATTAACTGATTTTATTTTTATTTTTTTTTCTGGGACAGAAAATCACTGAGCATTAATTTCCAGCTCTTTGTATTTCACTGAACTTAATAGTGCAACAGGTTGAAGGAAGAGCTCACAAGGGTTTTGGACTTGATTTTCCTCCACAGAGAATTTTTTCCTCTGTTGAAGAACAGACTTCTGTTAGGAAGATTTTACTAGTTCAAGATTTATGCATCTGTGTGTGCTTGAATCATATTTGAGTATCATCTAGGTAATAGACCTGGGAATTGGAATTGTGTAGCACCATTTGGCTAATAGATGTAATCGAATTCCAAGCCTGGACACAGGGGTTGTTCTTAGCTCTGCTATGCTGCATCTGGGCAGGTGCAAAGGCCAAAGCTGATCTAGCTTGTTGGGAAGGTAGAATTAGAAAAAAATTATAAATATGACTCTTTAGCCAGAAAGGCTAAGGAAGAAATACAAATGAAAGCACGATTTGAATAATTCAAAGAAACCGGGCTGGTATGCCAGAACACATTCTTTCCCCCAGTAAAACCAAGCTAAGACCCCAGTAAAAGAATAGAATATTCAAATGTATAGATTATATAAGTAATTGTAAAAGAGAGTTGTCTCTCTTGCTACGCTCTCTTGCTTGCTCTTGGCTCACTTTTTCTACGCTCTTGTTTCTCCTGTTTCCTCTTGCTTCTCTCTTTCACCTCTTTTTCCTGGCTCTCTCACTTCTGTTCTGTTACCCTCTTTCTTAGCAATCTTAAGTCTTGAACTCATGTATTCATATTTTACCCCCTTTTGTATTGGTCTCTCCGAGCCTGCTTTGAGCTCTATCTGCTGGCTCGTAGCAGGCTCTCTCTCTCTCCCACGCCCTGAAATAAACTACTAACATCTAACTCGACTATAGAGGTCTCTGCCGTGTCCCAGACTGTCCACCACCCCGAAAGCATCTCTTACATAGGTGGTAAAGGTAGCTGATCTTAAAAGCTCCATGTTGTATTTGGTGTGGCCTCCTGATGAGCCAGATTATGCCTGTTGTGAGAAACTAAGCCCACTCCTGAAAATTTTAAGAGGCTAATAAGGGATAATAAGATCAATGAAACAAAAGGAACAGCACTGGATGCACACACACACCTCTCTAGCAAGCATTCCTTTATACTGTTGCAGTTGCATTACTTCCCCAAATGGCTCTGCTGACTCCTCGGAGTCTGTTTACCACAACTCCACCTCAGATTGTTACAGCATTGCATAAATCCACATTTACAGAGTCCAAGAGTCCATCAAGGAGGCAGTCCAG